ATAATCTATTCATGAAAACCACTCAAGTAAACTAAAGTTGTTCTGGTGCCTATAGTGTCCCTTAAACAGTTAAATTCCCAGTTGCAAATTCATGTGAATAAATCCCACACATTCCATAGTATTCTCCTCTATTTACTGAATTAGCTAGCAATATGCTTTAATACACATTTTGCACTTGTTGAAATCATGATATAAATTACAAAACCATGTCTATACACCAAAACTGTTTCATTCAGAAAAAGTTTTTTTGCCAACTGTAGTGTCCCTTTAATTCCAACTTGGAGTGTTCCAAAATTACACTGCACATGATATTATGACTTGGGTTTCCCGCTGACAACAGAACTATATACCCACAAACTCGTGCTTGTGCCCATAAAGCACTGCAAACGGGATAAGCTCGATGGTGCTATAGAAGTTTTTGAGTGTGTGCTTGTTGCAGAAGCTGCCTATACTGGAGTTTTATATCACATGCAGGATCTTCAAATGTGAGTATCTTTCTTTTATTTTCAATATATTTATCTATGTGGAGTTTTATCATTATAGATATATCTACATATGGTTTTATACTTAATCTGCCTTGTTTTTATGGACATATAAGGTGGGGCATGAAAAGTGATGCCCTGTAATATTTAGACAAAAATCACTGAATTTATGAAGGAAAATATCACAAAAAAAATGCCATGCTTAAAAGGATACTCTAAGCAACATAACAACTTTAGGTTAATGAAGCAATTGTAGTGTACAGATCAGAATTAGGCAACATTCGTCAGTACAGATGTTGCGGACTACATTACCGCTGATTCTTTGCCAGCATTTTGTCTGCATTATGGGAGATAAAACATCTGGAATGCCAAAGCCACACCTCCCTCCCTGGTTGAGACACAGCCTACGTGGAAAAATGGGTTCCATTCAATCAGATCAGAATAGCAGTGTGTTCGTTTTAGAGGTTTTTATCACCTGCTCTGTGAATGAAACCTTAATCTCAATGAAGTGGTCTGGATGCCATGTGCTCTCCATTGCATCTAGAAACATTGCTGTTCTGCAGGAATGTAAATGTTTTCATTGCAGGTTTAACTTGCCTTTAGTGCCTGTCAAACTGACAGCCAATAGGGGCACTACTGTGAAGTAGCAAAGTAAAACTCCGATGTGTCAGATGGTCTCAGAGATACTAACTGGCATGCATTAGCCTTCCAATGCTTTCCTATGGGAAAACACTGGATTGACTAAGATCATCGATCTCAATAATCTCAGCCAAAGAGGTGCAGTTTCATCGGTGCTGTGAGGTAGAACAAGTAACCAGTGCTGCAAGGTAGAAAGGTAAGTAAACTTACCTTTTTATCCCTGGCAACACTGGTTTGATCACCTGATTGGGGTATTATAGCATTAGTATTACATATTTGTATTCCTGGTGATACAGTTTTAGTTTAATCACATACAGGAGGCTCCTGCAGGCTCTGGCAGGCTATTAACAGAGCAGGAGATAATAACTTCTAAATTAAACAGAACGTGCAATAAAGGATGTTTAAACATTAGATGACTCTTTACAGGAAGTGTGTGTGGAGAATGTGTAAGGTGGGACTAGTGCTGCATAAGCAAAATGATTTAACTCCTAAATGGCATAGAATTGAGCAGTGCAACTGTAGGGGCATAATCTATACACTAAAACTGCTTCACTAAGGTAAAGTTATTTTGTACTTATGATATCCTTTTAATTAAACATTGGGTTTATCAACAATTTTTATTTACAGAGATACATTTGCATTTAAATGCTCAACAATAGTCTGATAGCCCTAAGTGTTAACCTTTTTTTTCAGAGTGCATATTACAGGTTAGTCTTGGAAATATATGCAGATTGGAAAAGTCTGTGATGGGGACATATGACATGTTTTTATTGTTGTTAACTATTTATACATGCAATGCTCTGTGGATAGTGGACATTCTGCAATTCTTTTGTTTTGTATTTCCAGGCTTTTTAACCCTCTTGTGGGTTTCATCTCTACTGAACTGCAGAAAATGTATTTTCTATACAGGGGGAGCAAGGCTTCGTGAAACTTCATATTAATGTAAATGATTGGTTGTTGGGAGCTTTCACCCTGGAGGGAAGAGACAATCTGCATACCACTAGTGAGCTTGATGGAAACCTTATGAATAAGCATCAGCATTTGCCTTTCAAGGTTACAGTGACATCAGCCACCACAAACTCTCATCTCTAGTGTTTATTGAGTGACACCATGACATCTCAACCTATAATTCTTTTCTTTATGGGCTATTAGGTTTATAGCCTTGATTTTGTGTAGTAAGGCTGACACTAACGATTTGTGCCATTGCAACCTAGACTAATGCTCTCTTTCTTTTTAAAATGTAAGTAGCATTGTTCCGTCATGAAGGGGATACTATAGTGCTAGGAATACAAAATTGTATTTCTAGCACTATACTTCCTTCTGCCCCTCCTTCGCACCTCCCTCCCTCCGACAGTGTAAGGGCTAATAAACCCTTACTAAACTTACCCGATCTCCCTCAGCACTGGCTCAGTGCTCCGCTTGGTCTGATGTCAACCGACTGGGGTTGTGCTAATGCGCATCCATGTCGAGTGCCACAAGCGCATTAGGCCCTCCCCAGAGAAAAGCATTGTGAAATGGGAAATGGGGATTTCACTGACGGAAGTTGCATAACCACCAGGAAGTGCCTTTGGGGCGTGTCTGATTGACAGCCACTAGAGGCAGCCTTAACCCAGCAATGTAATTATTGCAGTTTCTCAGAACAAGAATAATATATATATTCATATTGGCATGTCATCAGATGGGCTTTTAAAGGGACACTATAGGCACCAATACCACTTCATCTCATTAAAGTGTTTTTGGTTCAATGTCCCTGTCCCCCTTAGTTTTAGAGAAATATAATGTTTACATTGCAGTGCTAAGCCTGCCTCTAGTGGCTATCTACCAGACATGCATGAGCATTAGGTATCCCCATCGGCTGACGTTGGTAGAGGAGGTGTACGATCCAGGGACCTCGGTACTCAAATCAGGTAAGTGAATGAAAGGGTTTTTTAAGGAGGGACACTTTAGTGTTAGATATTCATCCTTGTATTAAAGTGTTCCTTTAAGGTAGAGAATTGTTGTAACAATACTACTAAACAGTCTGGTCGATTGATGACCAAAATATTCAAGTTGAAAAAATTCTGAAAAAATTCTGAAACTCAATGAGTTAGTTATTCTGTATTACCCTTTTTTGGACCGTAAAGTTAGTACAACTCAGTATTTGGTGAATAGACTTGTAGTTTCCTTTTTTAAGTAATGCTAAACTTCACCTACTCCAAAAGATCACTGGATTGAAATTCTGATATGCATCTAAGTCCAAATTGGTTTCCTTATACTTAATACTTCTGTGAATTTAATGTTGAAATTATTAATCTGCATTGTGGGTTCATGTAATGCTCAAATGATGTCACAGAAGTCAGCCAGAAGTTGTATATCCAAGACTGGAAGATTTTCACAATATAACACTTATCCTTTTCATTGATCTCTGGTAGTATAATAAAATACAATTTAAGAAAACAGTAATGTACCTTTAATCATATTACATGCCGTGTGCTTTTAGAAATGAAAACACACCCTTTATTATTCTACTCTCATAACATTTTAAAGGCCATATCATGACAGCATCAACATGGCTACATTTAGAGCTTGACGAATGCTCCATATTATCACCGCTGAGAAAGTGTGCAACCTTATGACAAATCTTTTCTAAGTAAAAAGAATTGGCCAGTTCTTGCATTGCAGTGTACAACAGTAAACTCTAGTTTAATTACATTTCAGAGTATCAAGCAACATTTTGACCTACATTAAGGTCTGGACCTACATTCAGATTTTCACAGAATAGACCCCTTACTTTCGTAACAGTATAACTCAAATAAAACTTTGCCAAACTAAAACAATATTACACATGCTTGAGACCTGCCTCGTGGTTCCCCTGCTTTATGACATCAGAAGCATGTCTAATGAATCTACCACGTGGTGGTTAGGAAGGTCAGTGTAACAGTTGCTCTAGGTTTGATGTACTTGTTGCAGAAGGATTAGTGAGCACACCTGTATGTCTGTATCACAGGTGCCTATGCATACTAATTTGTAGTGCAGTTTTATGGTGATGCGAGTTTGAGCATTAGTGCGTAGTGAATTCTTCATAGAAGTGAAATGATTAAAATTTATCTAGTTTAAATAAACATTCCAAACACATAGAGCTTGCTTGTAAGGAGCATCCTATTAAATTTCCAGTTTGTAAAAGTGATAATTTTTTTTCCTTGAATCAATTTTTATTGGGATTTTTATAATTCATGCCACATTACATTGCAATACTTTATAATACAGATATCCGTTGGCCTACACATCGATTTTGACCACTGGTATACCATATATAACGCATTTATACAATGTCTTGGGTGGCATAAGCCTCTAAAACACAGTATATTCACATATTGTCGTGGGTGTCGTTAACCTCTTTTGGTAGATTTTATACATCCTCCTGGTTGCTGTTAGTGCGATAAAATATCTATTGCAATACAATAAACGTACATTGTTGATTCCCAGACCATTGTGTCCGATCTCACATAACCGGTGGTCTCACCTAGTTTCATCCCATATGGGCCTAATCAAGGTCTTTGCTTGAGTGCTTACGTGCCCAGCGTGGCCACGGACATCCACTTATAGTGTTGTTAGAATATTGTCATATGTATACACTAGAACATTACAAACAAAAACCAAATAACAGAAAATAACCCAGAAACTTCAGGAACTTGGTTGGCTTTGCTCCTTTGTTTTATCAACGATTTGTCAGTGTCTTGGGACTTCGGTTCCCCTTACTCTTTACCTTTCCCTTTATCTTTCCCCCCTCCTTCCACCCCCTGTACCCTGTGGTATTTGGCCTTTTATGTCATATCATTTCTGCCATCCTCTAGGTTGAAACCTCATTTGTCATTGCACCCGTGCTCCCTTCCTGGTCCTCTAGGATCCAGTTTGTGGGTTCTGCATTCCATCAGCTTCTCTATCCTCTTTATCCGCATATTCTGCCCATAGTGTGTCCCAATTTTCCCAAGTTTGTTCGCATTTCTGACTCGTATTGGTTAGTGAATGGGACATTTTTTCATACACTCTGGTCTTGTCGAGTTTTTCTAGTACCATGGTCAATGGTGGGGGCTCTTTTGTTTTCCACAGGGAAGCTATACATTGTTTTGTGGCTATCAGGACCTTATTGCCGCTCTGTTCGGTGTACTGTAGATCTTCGGGAAGATATGTAGTATATATGGTGCCATGTGTAGGGAAATCACTTCCCCTGTCAGCTTGGTTATCACCTCTTTGATTTGTGTCCAGAAGGGGAGTAGTGCCCTACAAGACCAAAACATGTGGCTGGTTGAGCCGGTTCGTCCCCGCATCTCCAGCACCCCTGGGTCGAATGGCATATATTCTTGATAGCCTCTGCGGGGTCATGTACCGCCTCATCCACACCTTGTAGGTGGCCTCTATGTGGTCTAGTAGCCGCTTTTGTTTGTTTGAGCGCTTGCGCCCATTGATATGTGGTGATATGTGGTGAACTCCTGACCTATTTCTTTTTCCCAATTGACCATGTAAGAGAACCTTAGTGGTCTCTGTGTGTCCTGGATGGCTCTATAGCAGGCCGCTAATGCTTTTCTGCTAAGTTTTCCTCCTATGCATAGGCGTTCAAAATTCCCCATCAGAGAGGGGTCTGGTGGGGGACCAGGTGTCTCCTGTGCTTTATGTTTTACACTGATGTATGTGAAGAGCTCCATGTTGGGTAGAGCAAACCTCTCCTGTAACCTCAGGAACGGTTGGATTCCTTCCTCCCCAAATAGCTGGGCGTATTGCTGAATTCCCGCCCTGACCCATGCCTGGAGCTTTAGGTCCGTGGTGTAGTATTGTAGGCTTTGTAATGGTGCATACCATAGGGGGTTTCTCCGTGGCAGCAGTGTTTTTGCCCATTTGTTCCATTTATTTAATGTTAGGGATGTGGAAGGTAAGGGATTTAGCATGTTGGGGTGCCTTTGTGGTGGAACCCACAATTGGGTGAGTATGTTGTGGGGGGGTGGTCGCCGAGCTCTCCAACGTGTACCATCGTAGGTAATCTGTTTTGTTGTGGAGACTACCTATCTGTGCTAGGATTGTGGCCGTATAGTATGATTGTACGTCTGGAACTCCCAGACCACCATCATGCATGTGGTAATAATTTTTTTTTTATTTCACGTATGCAGTGCCTCCCTGTGCTAACGGAAGTGAAAGGTGCGTTCCACATGAGCCCGTCTGCCTTCTCCCCAATTCCTCCTCACAGACCTCACATCTGACCAGTCTTCCTCCTGAATGCTGTTGGAGTGCGCACAGAGGTACATATATTTAGGGGCTTCTTAATGAGAAGTCTCTGATTGGTTATTTCCCTGTAAAGAGACTGAAAGTCACTTCCGGGGAAGAAGGGGGGGGGTGTGGGGGGGGCTTGCAAAGGCTGCGACCATAAGAACTGAAAGTTTTACAAGCTCTTTATTAGTATACCCCCCATGACAATAGCAAAACATGCATGAGTGTGTTCTTTGGGGTATATCTACTAAATAATGATCCCCATCCCATTTTTGAAGAGGAGTGTTTCTCTACAAAAACTGAAACTGCTGCAGGTCGATAGAGAAACTTTGATGCTAATAATTTGTATCGCTGCTCTTCTTAGGGTAGCATTATAAAGGGTTCAATAAAAATGGGGACAATGCTAAATTGTCTCTCTCCTATACATATATGAGGAAGTGAAGTTTCTGATCATAACATCCCCAGCACAGGGGATGGCCACTGGATGACAATACAAATCTAAAAAAATACATTTTTTCATTGCTTTCAAATGGTTTGACAAAATTTTGAAGGACTTCACCAATACCCTCCTAACAAGAATAACTCTGCAACAAGCGTTCAGGTTTATGGGTGCTTCCAAATCCTCTTTAAGCTGTTTACTCTGATCTAGTGACATATCCTTATGGCATGTGAACTTATAACCATATGCTTTATGGGTAAAAAGCAACGAGAGTTCGTCAGAATCCATTGTGTGATTGCAATCACAAGTCAGGTTTTATTTTTATTGTTTTAAATATAGATTGAGTTGTGACGATCTGCTAAACCTTAAATTATGGGAGGGAAATTAATTTTCTGTTTTACACAACAATTTTTATTTCTTGTCAATTATTTTAAAAAATCATGATACATTACACACATACACGCTTATTTACTAAAGTAAGAAATTTAAAGTATATTTCAAATTTAAGGCTAAATAGATAAATTAGGAAATTCTCTAATTTAGCTGTACTTTAAGTTTGGCTACTAAAATTAGAAAATCAATAAAATTCTCACTTTAAAAAATAACTCTGATACAGTTTTCAAATTTACCATAAATATTCCCAAACAGAATGATTTATGAACCACAACAAAAAATTCTCATAAAATATTTTAGAACAATGGAGTTCATGATGAAGGGTTTATCTCAGTTTAACACAATTTTTATTTTCCCCACTTTTTTGTCATCTTTTTTCTTTTTCTTCAATAATATAATACTTGTCACATGCGCAAGGACGGATTAAATGCATGTTCTTGGTGAAATCCTAAAACCCCTACAGGCTATTTTTTTTTAGATGTTATTTCCTAGAGCTATTCACTAAACCTAGACTTTTCGCAAATTAAATCTGAATGGCATTACTGTGGCAAAATTAGCCAAATTTCGACTGCGACTGAGTTAGAGAATTTTTCCAGATCAGCTAATTTTGCCTCTCTTTTTTCACTTGTATTATTAAAAATTCAGAGTTTAGTGAAATAATAATTAATGTTGTCCCCTTTTCAATAGATGTATGAAAAGAAGAACATCAGTTACATTATGGCTCTGGAAAAAGCTATCACTTGACTGGAGACTAAAAAAAAAATCCAGTTTATGTAACCTATGAAAGCATTTCTCAGCAGGTAAATGCAAACATTTATTTATCGTCTACGTTTAGCAGTGAAGGGGTTAAGTCACATGGCAGATTGTAGGACATCAAAGATGATTTGCCGATCATGACACATCTGCATCTTATTTAGTAGGACTATGGTGCTAATTGTTCACATATGCCAGAGCTGAACCCTGCACAAAGCAGAATGTTGCTTTAACCCTTCCATTGCTACAGCACTGCTATAGTTCACATAAATTAAATTTAACCTTTTAGTGCCTTTCTGCCTTTCTTCAAGGCTCCAATGGAGTGACACTAGGAATTATTACTATCTCCATATTCCCAGTCACTTTTCGAGGGACCTTTTTCCTTATTTTTTTTATTTTCATTTATTCAGAACAAAAAATTTGTCTCTCGAAACCTCGCAGGACAACAATTTGTAGGAGGGGATTATGGGAGTTGTAGTTTGCCATCTGTAGGAGTGATGCAGATTTAGGAGGGATTGCGAATGCTTGCACACTTTTTGTAGGAATTCTTTCATCTTTTCTATGAATTTTGACATTTTTGCAAAAAAAAAAAAAAGAATCTTGCAAATATTTTGTGATCAAGTGTACTGTTCTGATATGAGTAATTACTTAAATTGTTCAGGACTTTCAGTAAGTTATGAAACATTTTCAATTAGACGTCTGATTGTAATTGAGATGTTTTTATAAATTAAACTGTGTCAAATTTATGCTTCTATGTGGAAAATTTTAAAGAATTCTACTTCCACAGTTGAAAAGTGAGTGTCAGTTATATTTGTGTATTGTAAAAACACATCATGGGTAATCTGCATCTTTCTTTTTTTTTACCATTTTTTCTAATTTTATATCCCAATTTTACTGCACTTTTAGTTTAACCCCTTAAGGACACATGACGGAAATATTCCATCGTGATTCCCTTTCATTCCAGAAGTTGTGTCCTTAAGGGGTTAAGTGAATACCTATTATTGTATGTAAAACATAAACTGTCATGCTTTTTTTTTTTTAATTGTAGATGCACATACTACATCTAAAGCTATATATATATATATATATAGAGAGAGAGAGAGAGAGAGAGAGAGAGAGAGCGACATACAATGAACATTTACAATAAATAGAAGCTTATCTTTCTGTCTATCTGTCTGTCTGATGGTCTATCTATCTATCTATCTATCTACCTCTATTTCTGCTTGTCTACCAGTTAGTTTGTCTACCTTTATGTTAACATTTGTGTTTGTACATGTCTTACATTGAGAACGATAAACATATAAGGGTCACAATATTAATATGTTAAGCTTTGTTTAAATGCTAGAATTAGCATAGATGTCATAGATAATTTTATAGCTACATTTATTTTATGTTTTTCTCTGCTTCAGCAATATGCTCAACAGTATCATTTTAATTGCATTAATTGGTTTTGTACTTCCATCTTTTGCTCTCATTTGAAATGTCTATTTTACAAATGTTTTCATATACAACAGTGGCACAATACCTGCACGTGCCAGACAATGCAGTCCTTGATACGATTCCGCTCCTCTCCAGAATCATGTGGACTGTAACCACCACCTTCTGATCTTTTAAAAAAAAAAGGTTTTATTTTGCTGTTACAGCTGGGGCTGACTCATGTTGGTCCTCTATATTATTCATATTAATTACATTTTATGTGTTTGAGTATTGGATGATCAGTTAACAATAGAGTGTGAAACTCTGACAATCCCACAGTAGACCCATTAATGACAGTATGAATTAAAATAGTTTTTACCTAGTTACTTCCATAAGATTCCGCCTAGTGATCGTCATTAACTGGTTGATTCTTTGGGGCAGACAGACACTGCTCTGTGTATAGCACTCTGATCCCTGTACAGTGCTACAGGGTGTTAGATCTCTGAGTGAGTAATTGCCAGTCTGTATAATGAGATCGAAAGGCAAAGAGTTGAGAATGTTTTTGATTTGAGCAGCAGTGTATACTCTTGTTCTACGTGTGTTCTATTGCTGCCAAGGACAAAAATAAAGTGTAATTGTTGATTTTAACATTCTTTGTTTTTTTTGGAAGAATAACAGTAACATATTTGCTATCCTGTTTAGACAAGGGATGATTCATTTTTGATTTTCCTTGAATGAGTATACAGCTCTGTAACTCAAGTGTATATGTGTACGTAGAATTGGCAGTGGTGCACACATGTGTCTATCCCCTTTGACATGTCAGATTGGTTCAATATAAGGCAGCACGTTACTGACAGTTTCTGTTGAGCAGGGTAATTGGGGATACAATGAAACGTCTCTTGCACAAAGGCTGGAAAACCTCCTCTGGAATCCATAAAGTATTTATTCTATGATTGGAGAGCGTTTTCATCCTGAATTAATTCGAAGCTTTCATGACAGCATACGGTTTACCTTGGCTCTCTAATGCAGTAAAACACTAAAGGAACTCTGTCACCAAAAGCCAGTTGCACAATAAAAATACATCACTTTTCTTACCAGCAACATTTGCTGATATAAATCTAGTTCTAAATTATGAATATAGGATATGCACAGTGCACTATTTATGTGTAAATGATGAAGTGACCGAAAGATTTAAGGGGTAACAGTGATCCCCTGGTAAAGGCCCCTGTGCCCCCCTCAGTGGCGCCCAAGGGGTCTTATGCCGCCTCTTTGTTACTGCTCTTTTGATGGGCAGTCTGTTTCAGCCTTCCGTTCACTGTGCATCTGTGCCTGCAGGGCTTAAATCTGGAACCCATAATGTCCGGCAACGTTTATACTACCTTTTCATGATGGATTGGTTTTGACTGAAGGAAAGGAGAGAGGGAGGGGGGAAAGGGTCTAGTTGGAATCAAGAAGGAGGGAGAGATGTTACGAACCCCTCCTCCACACTTCATCAGCTTGGGCGACCCAATCGGAAAAGAAGCACCAGGCCAATTTCATGTGAGATCCCTCCTTACCATCCAAAATGAGGAGTGAAAGAAAAAAAGGGAAGGTTGTGAACATTATTCAGGAAGGCTGCTGATCTCAGGAGCACACACTTTGAGTGAATCTGCTTGGAAGAGGAATTGGTTATACCCACTGTCCTAGCATTTCCCCAGCATCTTTTTTTGCCACATCTGGGCAGTAAGTTATTTGTATCACTGGCAACCAAATCCCCTCACTGATACCTGGTTGAGAAGACAGCAAACACCAGCCCCAACAAGATGAAGGAAGAAGGAACAGGTCCTGACTCCCCTGAAGATAGCCTTGTAACCAGTGAAGAAGAGGCTGAACGCCAACAGAGGAAGGCCATGCGTAAGCGCACGGTGCTGGTTGGCAAAGGGGAAGATGGGAGAGTGCCACTTTCACCTCCCTGCAAGCGAAACAAGAGGACTACCCATATAGAAACCTACGAGGATGTACACACCCAGAGAATCATCGCCAATGTAAGGGAGCGCCAGCGCACCCAGTCATTAAATGATGCCTTTGCCGAACTGCGGAAGATCATCCCTACATTGCCATCTGACAAACTCAGCAAGATACAGACCCTGAAGCTGGCTTCACGCTATATTGATTTCCTGTACCAGGTCTTGCAGAGTGATGAGCTGGACCACAAGATTGCCAGTTGTAACTACCTTGCCCATGAAAGGCTCAGCTATGCCTTCTCCGTGTGGAGAATGGAAGGTGCCTGGTCTATGTCAACATCCCATTGAGCCCTGAGATGATACCCTCTTGCTTGCTGTTTGAAAAGGTACGTGGGAAAATTGCCCCACCGCATGGGAACACATATTAAATCTTTGTGGAGTCTGCATTCGTAACAAATCTCCAAAGCATCCGATGCTGAAGAATTCAGCTGAATCAGGATGTTTACGATGATTGTCTATAGACGCCAGTTAAATTTCAAAGCTGGTGCTTGTTTGTACTATTTAATTTATCCTTCTTTATGCTTGCCTTCAATATACTTTGCAGCATAATGTAATAATGAAGTGAAATAAACTATACTAAACACAAATAAACAAGTACTCATTTGGGCCTTTTACATAAGAAGTACACATTCCTGAAGCGTTAAGATCACTTGAATTCACAATAAATTATTCTGCGGTGCGAGTGAAAGTTTAAACAGGCGCTCATCTAGCAAGCATGCAGAATGTTTTCCTCTGATATTAATGTGCAATACTGTACTATTCACATGCAAATCATTACGTACAATATCATACATGTCCCCCGCTATAGTTCTGTTCTGTTGCTTACATCTGCAATCACCTAGCAGCCGTGTCCATGGCATGTTAGTCGAACGGTTATATTTGAACGCATATGGTCCATAAAAAAAAAAATGAGGTAATTTGTGACTTTTTGGTTTTTCTTTGAATGGCAAATAAAATGCCTTATTTTTATTTATATTATTGTACACTAGTAATTTCACTCCTTATTTTATTTAAAATTGTTTTGTAGAACATGCTGTTTATTTATTTTTGGCAATATAATACATTTATTTTCTTTAATAAGATGCACGCTGTTTTTGTTTTGTTTTTACTTTATTTTCTCTCGAAAACAGTAGAAACTGTACTCGTGTCACCTCGTTTCTAGAGTAGATGGAGCACAGTATTGGTGTCATTGTGCCTTGGATTGGTTAGATACTAGTAACTCCCAATTCTGATTAAGTAACCTCAACGAACCAGGTCACATGTCCACCTACCAGAGCAAAACAAGTCTACTGTAACAGGAACCAGAAAGGAAGGATAGTGTCAGTTACATTACAACCAACATTTAAATCAGGAAAGTCTTATGACATGGAACTAAGAAATATATGGGTTCACTATTTATAATATATTCTTTTATGGCAGAAGAACCTGAACTGTAGCAGTCTTTCACAAACTCACCTGTCTGTACGAAAGCAGTCCTCCCCCCTAAAGCACTGATGTTAATATGGACTGAGCATCATGGGAAATGTAGTTCAGAAATATCTGTGATCCTAAGGTTAGCTCAATCATTGACAAGATCCTTGGTGAATAGCTTCTCTACAGAATCCTACTCCTCTAGAAAATATGTGCAGCTATAATGCTCTCCAATGATCCTCTTTGTTCATTTGCCATTGAAATCTCTTGGGCAATAAATACTTAGTGCTCTGCACAGATCAGATAAAAATTCCATAGCTCTCCAGCGTTGCAGTGATCGTGAAATGCCAAAAGTAGACTGAAATGGTTTATTAACACGCAATGAAAGTCGTTTCAAAATGAACAACATCAGTTGAAAATCCACAGGGAATAGGTACTTAGGAGTGATATATATGGGATGTTTTATTCCAGTATGAGAAACAGCTTCAGTCCCACTAGTATTGTACATGAAAGAGTGTATTTTCTCTATTGCTTAAGTACATAAGCTCTGTTGCTAACTTACACCTAACAGGGCCTAAATGAACAGTTTTGTGTTTTGTTTTTTTCTTTTCTATTTCAACACAGTCATATTAATTTGGCATCCTATTAAATTGTTTCATATTAATGAATTTAGACAGTCTTGCTTTAGAAACAGGTCAGGGTTCTAGCCTTTCAATCTCCTGTTTGAGCATTCTGTCCATTTTGTGCTTTTTGAACTTCAAAATGGACTTTATATTTGGTGGCTCTGAGATCGACTTTTCAAGCATTTAAATTGAATAATGAAATATTTTGCTGATTGTACACACAATATTTTCTAAAAAAAAAAATTCTTACTTTTGCCTAGATTTGCCTTGTATTCTGTGCAACAACCTGTTTAATGAAATGTCATACCTGTGTGTATAATTAGAAACATCCCAGCATTATGCCTAAGAATTGCAATGACCTCACATTACATGGTCACGGTATTAAAGGGCAGAGGTCACTGAGATCGCCAGGTCTCTATACAGCCATAGAGTGTGATTGACATTTTAACCATGTTGTTTAAAAATCCTTTCATCGAAAATAAGCTGAAGGTTTATTTTTAGAACCGTTAACTTCTAGTATCTTCAAATAAAGTATTATACAAAAAACTAACACAAAAAAGAGAAACATGTCTCCGTGTACATCTGGCATGTACAATGTTAACCAGACTTTTAAATATTCATATTTATTGAATTTAACCATATTTCCTGAATAGATTATAACTGTATTGGCTTTGCAATTATTGCCTGATTATATGCTCTGTTTTGAAATAGCGGCTCCTCTTTTAAACCCTTTGATGACAGATGACATACAGTTAAATAAAGACAAAATTTAAAGTGTCTATTGACTATTCCTTGTCATGACCGAGTTAAACTTGCAATAGAAAGTAAAGTAATAGAACTCTCTTCTACAGTAAAGAAGATCAGTGTAAACTCTAATTATCCCCCAAAAATCACCGAGACTCAGACATGAGAACTTGCAGAAGAGGAACTACTCTGTATAATCCTCTTGTAATATATGCTGAAAATTTTAGGAACTCTGTGGACGACCGTAAAATAAGTTAGAATGCCACTACCGTCATGCCACGTGTGACTAGTGCCATTAACTTTAGCATATTCTGGCTCAATTACGTTGATTCTAATTATAAATGTAATTAGTAAATCAACTGATGAGTTCCGTGTATTATTATTATTATCCTGCAAAACAAGATGATACAAAAAAGGAAATGCAACATTTTGTCGTATTTGTAGACAGTAAATGTCTTTATGCCAAAACATATCAATTTACAAGCAGTGAGACATAATTAAGGTGATGTATTATTTCAAGCTCTCTGTGGGGGTAGAAATTTTATTAGACACGTCCATTTACAGAGACAAATGTCAAAATCATGTTTGTTTAATTAACACTTGACCTCTAGCCTCCTGGAGGGACCTTTAGCAAATCAAAAAGCCATGAACTACAAGCTCCTATTCTGAGGAAGCAGAGGGTATACATTGGATTGTTTATAAACACAGCACCAGTCATTCAGCTTCCAGAGCTAACTAAATATTTGCAAAGAGATCGGTATACTTTGTAGAGCAAGTGTAACACGTCTAATGGAAATTATTTCTGATTTGTATGAGGACAAATCATAAAATGTCTAAGCTTTAGAAATATATTTTTGCATTTGTTAAAATATTAATTGCTCAGCCAAGAACACTATTATTATTATTATTGCTTACATTTATAAAGCACCAACATATTCTGAGGCGCTGCGCAGTTGAGGAAAAAGTCAGTACAATATCCACAGATCAATAAAAAAAAGTGAAAGATGGTCGTAACCGTGAGTTGAGATCTAACCGTTATCTAATAAAATATGCTTCTTTCTTAGTTGTAATAATGGCCAACAGTTGTGGGCCATATTCACAAGAATGAACTGTGATGTGTTGAAGAACAACTTAAAAATTTAGACCAAAATAAATCAATAAAAAATAATTTAAAACAAATTACCAATTCAGTGTGAAAAAACAAAAGTTTGTTAATTTCATGAAGTCCTATGTTACAATTACTATAATTGATTCATTATTATTTTTAGTAGGCTGTATTAACCAATAATATCTTTGTATACAAATTCACTTTGGGTCAATGGATGCCAGTTTGCTCAATGAAAGCGTCACAGTTTGGTATTGTCTTAAAATAGTAATTTGGTTGTTATCTGATGCCTGCAGAGCTAAACGTAATTTGAGGATGGTGTTATTTATTACAGTAGGTCATAACGCATTGTTTGCTAGTTTATTGAGCAGTTTCTATAAATGGCTTCAGAGTAATTCTCTACACACACTGAAAATGTAAATAACATTCTCTGAGAATGACAGAAAATAATTCTAAATGAGTAATATGCAGAATATGAACCTAGGAGTTTATTTACTTCAAATGGTAATGAATTCAAAGCCAAGTTAGGCTATATTATCCAAGGTCAGAATATTGTTGGAGAATTGATCCAAAGCTGCCCTTTTTGCACGCATTTTGCACATTTGCCTTCCACTCACTGACGGTTGGTGTTTAGTGAATAAGCCCCTATGAATTGGCACCTGCACGTGGCTTATGTTCTAATGGTGAATAAAAACTATTAAAAAGACGTTCCCTTAAATTGACAATGAGATGAAATTTCTGCGTATAAAATATGTTCAGGTGTCCATTACTATAGGCAGCTGCAGTTAAACTCTTTATTCCTATCAACTGTATTATAAAGAGACTTTTGTAGCTATTAAAATGTTCTATTCCTTTGCACTTTTAAACATTATATATTTTTATGTCTACAATGGCAGTTACAACTATTATGGCAATGCAGCCTCGTTCTATGAAACATTATACTGAGCAAAATTCCTCTTTAGAATAAATTCCTTGCAGCATGTCAACCACTTCATAAACATAAGACAAATACTCTCAGAGCAACAATCAATGTAGAAAGAGTGAATCACTGCAGCTGCATTTGTCACTTTAATGTCTCTGGCCTCAAAAGGGTTAATAATGCAGAAGAGTTGCTAGGCTTTTTTTAAATATATATATATATATAGTGAAAAATATTGTCTGCCCTCGTATGGCAGCAACTTTATATAGCAGAATATAATGTACTTTTCTATGCATTTCTGTTTATCGCTAGTCAAATGTTAACACACGAATCACGAATTGATTTGTGTGTTTCTAATGTGATTGCTAGATTTAAAAAAAATGCATAAACGGGATATTGTGAAAATAAAATATATGAAGTAACAATTCTTATTCTGCTGGTATTCACAATAGCATATAATCTGTCCATAATATTTGTCGACCCCGGG